TGGTTTTTTTTTTTTCCCAAATCTCACTCCCAAGGTAACAAGACAGCAAAACAGGTAACAACACAGTACATTTGTATTTTTACGGAATGATGCCAATGGTGCTTTAAGTGAAAATTATCCTACATAAATTCAAGTACACTATATCAACATCTCACATGTAAAACCATGTATAATAAAAATAAATAGCCCACTGATGTTTCCACCAAACAATGTTCAAATGGAACTCAGTAAGTTTTGTCTTTCATTCGTTGCTGAAAAAAATCCCAAGTTCACTGCTTCATTCCTGATGCTAGGTGACTGGTCTTCAAGTCTTTCTTAGCACCCTTGCTCTTTTAAAGGTTGAAATTACTTTGGCACACCTTTCATTCTTTGGAATTCTGTTTTCCAAATCTTTAATTAAAAGTACTATTTGTGGTTCAAAGAGTTGAACCTCCACTACTAAAGACATGCCTAAGTCCATAGCTCAGATCATGCACAGTAATGTTAAAGCCCCACTGTTCAGCATTAGATCCCTTAACAGCAGGTTGCCTACAGCCACGCTACATAGCATTTGTCATGAGTCACTGCTGATTCTTATTGTCATTTTTTGTACTTTTTCCTTTTAATTTAAAGTATATTCAAATAATCAGGGCTGCAGGGTTTCTATAGCACAAAACTATAAGCATGCAAAAGTAAATGGGAATGTTTGAAGGTGAAGTGTTGGGGAAGAATGTGGAAGAACCCAACCTGGTGCAGCCTGCTGGGACGAGTCCCTGCAGTAAAGCATGCCGACAACAGCATTCAAGTTCATCTCAGAGGGAACTAGTTGATTGAATTAAAAAGCAAATCTAGGGTTGAACCAGTATTTGCTCAGCTGGAGAGCAGCAGGTGGAAAAGAACATTGGCTGACAAATACACATGCAGTTTTCATGGGTACAGTTCTATTAGGTCAAGTGTCTTGGACAGCTCATCACCCACTATTTATTTTTTTGTGTCTCTTTGTTAACGGACTTTAATACAATTGCCTAAGAAATAAAAACTCCCTGATGTTAAGACTGAGACTTCAGGATCATATGTTTGTCTTTTTGTTCTAATACTCTACAATCTTCTGTAAAGTTATTTTCTTACTTAAGCTTATATTTCTAAAATGTAATTATACTATTACAACTTTCAGGATCCCTGGCATTTATCTAGAATGCCATGCTCTCTGCAGGACTAGATTCATGATTGTACTTAAGCTCTCACAGCTGTGCTATATGTGACACTAAAGATACTCGGTGTAAGAATAAGAAAGTAAGTGGGAGACAGGACTGCATTTTATTTACAATCACTGAAAAGGAATGGGAAAAAACAGTCAGTTCCTGCCATCGGTCACTAGTGGCACTCCGCAAAGTCTTTGCTAGGTCATATGCTGCTTGACCTATTCATAATCAGCCTCAAAAAAGAGACAGTGACAAAATTTGCCAATGATAACGTTAGTGAGGGTAGTGAGATGGCTGGCAAACTGAAGAACTGCAGAAAGACATGTAAGACTGATTAGGAAATAATACAGCAGATGCAATTCAGCACAGAAATAATGACACACATGGAGATAAACCGCAAGAGTTTCACATATGAGACAATAGCCTCTGAGCTTATCATTGCCACTTAGAAGTGAGATCCTGCAGTTACAACAGATTATTGAAAACAGCTCGGTGCTCAGTTCAAATTAAAAAAAAAGCAAGTACTACAAATTACTAGGAAGGGAATAAAGAGCAAGAAAGTAAGCAGTCCAGTATTCAGCTACATGGCTAATGCTGCATGCAGTTTTAGTTCCCTTTTCAGAAAATATGTAAGAATCACAACAATTTCAAAGGACAATAAATATAGAAACTATTCTATGCCTTTAGTCAGCCAAGGAATGTGTTAACAACACACTTCAGTTTAGCAAATAGGAAATGTAAAGGTGAATGTGTTATACATCTGCAGAATCATGACTGGCACAAGCATGATAGGTGAAGGTTTACTGTGCAGGGAACATTAAATTAAGCTACTGAAAATCAGGTTAAAAATAAACAAGTAGCAGCAGCTCTTTATGCAACTGACATCAACTGATAAAGGCTGCTGTTATTCAGGAAGCGTACGTAGACCAAGGGAAACTGAACAAGTACTGGAAAAAAGCAGCATTGGGGATTACTAAATAGACAAACCATATGATGTTCAGGAAAGCTTGGAATAGAAGACACTTGGAAGCTAGGAGAACACAGAAGGAAAAGAACCAGAAGTGCTTGCATTGTTCTTATCCTTCCTCAGGCATCTGGTTTTTACTACAGAAGAGGCTATTGTGTTAGAAAAACCTTTGGTCAGAACCTGTATAGCTATTCCTACGTTTATCTTTTTGAGAGTTCCAAGAGCATGTAAGGAGGCCAGAGGAAAAGCACGTGCTGTTTGCCGGGCTTCTTGCAGTTAAATGTAGTAGAAGACTGTATGTTACAAACACAGCCATGGCTTCTCAGCCACCCAGGCTAAGTCTGCACCCTCATGTTCACATAGTGGGGATGCTAATGAAGTCATAGACTTCTATTTTACAGCACAGAAACATTTCCAGCATGAAACTTCCTACTAGAGGGATTTTCCCTTTTTTTTTTTTTCTTACCAGGAAGAAGAGTATTTCTTGTATTTGTCCTGGATGGTACCCCAAATCAAAAGTGACCAGGAGTTGTTATTCCAATTCCTAAGCACATATGTTCCACGCAGTACTTTAAAAGAAACTTTGCCAAGTACACTGAAGAAAATCATATAGGCTTTCTAGGTAACCACGGATCTGCCAGTTTTAAGACACATGTCCTCTCTGCTTTCAGCCAAATATGTTAAACATTCAACCTTACAGTTTGCATTTCATTTTGTAAATATGAACTATTAAGTATAAACAACGCTACCATTTAGTTCCATGTAATAGTGAAAATTATGCATTTTTAATTTTATACACATCAAATTGGGGTTTTGAATACCAAAAACATTCCCTGCTTCTATAATTCTGCAGGACAAACGGTCTACCAGCAAATGTCTATGTACATAAAAACCAGTAAGCTTACTGATGGTAAAATGGTAGGTGCAACTTACCGGTCAGACCAAGAGTTACATGTAAATTGTTCTCATATTGCATTTGCAAGCTGGTTTTAAGCATTTCAATGACACAGAATAACCAGTAAGTTAGAAAACACTCTGGAAATACAGAAATGCAAAGCGATCAATAGATATTCAAGGGAAGTCCTTTATTGCCCAAAGATCTGACAGTGAAGGGAAAAAAAGCATCAGCAGAAACATGTACTCTAATATGATTTCATAATTATTCATTAGCTACAGTTTACAGAAAACTTGAGTTGAGAACTCACAGACTTAGATTTGACTCCTGAAAACAGAAAGAATGCTCCCCAGTCTTTTCTCACTTTTGACATGTAGCACTGAGTCCAGATAAAATTAAGTAAAAGAGCTAATTGCTAATTTGTGTTGATCTGACCTAGTATTTTCATGATGTTTTTACTGACTTCTCAGACTTCCTAGGATAAATTTCATTGTTGCTATCTTTTCATCCTAGGGATACCTTAATGTTTTCAAAAAAACCCCAGTATTCAGAAGTTATAAATCTGAAGTTACAACAATTTACAAAGGATTTAAAGGGTTCATGAGTAAAGTGATACCACTTAAAAGTCTCCCAGCTTGGTTATCCAGAAGTTTTCACAGCATCCTCCAGGAATGACTTTTTGGCCAGGCTAACTGGAATTAATGGTAAGTGACTGAGTGCAGTATAAATATTTTTCTATTCTTTCTGCCAGCAACACGAAGTATTTAGCCTCCTTGATCCTTTTTTGTAGAGCTATGACCTAGAGTACATACGATGTAAACTCTTGAAGTAGAACAAACTTTCTTCTCTACACAATTATAATGTTTGGCTTGGTTCATTTTGCAAATGTGCTCCACCCTACTAACCTTGGAGGTTACTTTAGGTACCATTAACGCTACACCTTGGAACCATGCTAATAAAGCTTTTTTGGTTATATTTTTTAACAGCAGCAGATGAAGAATAAACAAGAAAACATTTTCTTATGAAGTAGAATTCCTGGATGCAAGGATATCTACTGGAAAGTAACATGATAAACAGTTTACTGTATATACTATAAACACTTGTTTTGGCATCAGTGAAGATTCCTAGCACTGAGTGAGAATAACTTCCCATGCCAAATAACTGTTTAAGACTCACTGATTCCCATCAACCAAATCTGATGCTTCTCATATATGTTTTGACTAAGGCAGTAACAATATAGCCTTAATATTTTTAGGTCTAGTAGTCACAACAAATGTAGCATCTGAACTCCATAAAATATTCCATGTAATCTAGAATTTAAGTTTGCACACATTTCTGCATGGATAACTGAAGTTCTTTTGTTATCCAAGTTAAAAACCACCTTCTTACAGCAATTTGAATCAAAAGAACAATTCATCACCTACATTATCAAAAGGGTTTTATTTCTTACTTTGAGATTGAGACTTAAGTCACTACCCTTACTCTAATTAATATAAAGTCAGGATGGGCTTCGTTCCTATCTGGTCCATAAAGCAAAATTAAAATTGTACATGTAGTTTTTCACCAAAGCAAGAGAAAAAACCAGGATATATTAGCACTTCTAAACGATGCATTAACAAGCTATACTCATTATAGCAATAGTCGTTGCTACACACTAGTAAGTTCAGCAAGTGTATAGTATCTCACGTGATTTAAAAAATACTGGATGCCAAAGAAAAGCAATTGCGCTACATTCACAAATAGTCCACAAAAATACCAAGGAAGGAGATTATACGTGAACTTATTAAAAAAATCTTTTCAAAGCTATTCTATACATCATCCTTTCATGAATATTTCAGAAATATTCTGAAACCTTCACACACATACTTATTTCACTTTTTTCCTGAATAGTGGCAATCTTCAAAGTCTCTGTTAACTTTAACTTGGTATTCTTCTCATATAGAAATCTTCTCCTATGTCAGCCTGCCATATTTTCAGCAGCCTATAAACAAAAAAAACATTTATTGCAAGTCACCAAAAGTAGACATGATGCAGATTAAATTTAATCTTCTCTTGTAACCATTTTAATTTACCTAGAGAACTTAAAAGTCTAAAAATAAGCTACTTACTAAAATTATAAGATATGCAGTGTTGTTCTCTAATGAATAATTCTATGTTTTGAAAAATAATGCTGTCAACTTCCATTATCCTTTATTAACATAGCCATTACTGTTTGCTTGTGTTAAATTGTATATCCTGTATCTGAGCAGCTTGTATCCTGTACATTTTACCCTAATACTTTCAAAAAGTGCCCAAATACATGTGGTGTTTTTTCCCCTTTGGAGTTTACTTCTTTATACAATTTCTAGTAATTATTACTCCAACTCATACAGGTAAATTAACACAAAACTTAGAAGAATGGCACTAATCATAACTGCATAAATCACACTGCCAATTATTTGATTAATACCATCATCAGTATTTTTATTACTGAATAACTCAACCAAGCCATCAAGGTACAGTTGTTGGGAGACTGACATTGCTTAATTTTAAGCCAGTTATGGGACAAAAAACAGGCAAAGGATAGCAACAGGAATGATAAGCCAGTAAAAGCAAAGGAAGAAGTAAACTAGCCCTCAGTTGCTTATATACACATAGTTAAACATATACGTATGCACACAAATAGAAAATATTTATGAGCATAGAATAGTGTTCAGTTAAAAATGAAGTAAAAAATTTGAAAACCAATGAAAAGTAGCCCTGACTAGCATCCACCTAGTAAAAATGTGAAGTTGAATTTTGCATGAATCAGAACACAATCTTTCAGAACAGAGATAGGCAGGCTAGATATAGGTTCCCCCTCCACTCCTCAGAAATAAACAAATATAAGATACAGTGGAAAAGAAATCACATTCAGACAGACAGTAAAGAATGAAAATCCTTTAAAAGGCAAATGAGGATTTTTTTTTTTTAAACCACAGTTGCCCTCTCTGCTAGCTAAACAGGTTAATGCTAATTATGAAAAGCCCAATGTATACACACACACCCCATGAAATCCCCTCTTGTTTCTCTCTGGAGAGATTCAAAGCATAGGTTAATCTGGTAAAAGTGATATGTGAAGATTACATTAGCAAGCTGCATGTACCTGTTTACAAGTACTGCTGCATACCATTAGGCCTGAGGTTGTAGAAATGACATAATATGGGTTAAATGAGAAATTAGCAATCTATTTGTGATATGATGCAGCTAAGGGGGCAAACAGTGGCTACAAATGCCCAGAATAAAAATCTATGGGTTTTGGTTGTTGGTGTTTGGCTTCATTTTTTTCTTTTCTTCAAAAGAGTTAATCTAATTATTTCTGAAAAGATTTTATTCATAGCATTTCCTGCTTCATGTTACATTCAGTTGTATTCATTGCCTTTGCAATGGAACAGTTAATTTCCTTGATTTAAAAATGAATCATATCTTAAAGTACAATTTACAAATTGAAATGTAACAAGTTGAATGTAGATCTGATTCTTAAAAACAAAACTATAAGCTTTTTAAGCAAAAGCATTACCTTTAGTGCTTCTGTAGCCTTACGTAGTTCTTTAATAACAGATGATAATGCTTCTGGATTTATCCCCTGTTCACAAAGCCTCACACAAATAGACAACGTCTCCATATCCAAACCAGTGTTCAATATTCTTGAAATCTCAAACAAAACTGCAACAGAAAAAAACAACAGCACTTTAGTCCCCACAGACTATGAAATTTCAATGACTGAAAAATGTTATTCATCAACATTTAGTTTCTACAGTAGGAGCTGTGAACATAACAGTTGTGGAAAGCTCCTGCAGTATGAACCTCAACAACACCATTCATGCTCAGCTTTTCAGCATAAGCTGGAAGCCACAGCTTCTAACAAATACCATGCTTTTCTGGTTCAGCAAACTTAATACTAAATAATGGATTTTGAAAAAAAAAGTTAAGAATTCAATAATTAACATGCTTGTCAATCATGTAAAAGGTAGGCTATAAGAATAATATGTGCTTTTGAACTCCAGATACTGATGAAGTCCTACTAAAAAGACCTGCAAGCACACTCTTAAAGCTTTTACAGAGAATGTAATGAGTTTTCTATCCACCTCCTTCCATAACTAAACCTGTCTTTAGGTCTAAAGTTAATGCTGGTTTGAGGATAAGCAATATTGTTTGATTTTTACATGACCTAACTCAAGAGCAGCACTGCATGTGAGTATGAAACATTTTGGAGAAGATTCTAGTCAGCTTTGTGCAGAAACAAAGATATCTCTCTCTCCTTCCAAACCTTCCCTGGAAGGCTCCTTTTCTTTGATTCTCGTAAACAGCATACAAGTGACTACTGTCCACTTGACAGCTATGAAAATATTCTACTGCAGTATACCAAAGACATTCTGTAGTACAGCCTTAGTTACACCTACCTAAGCCACAACATTTAAGACCTAAAGCATCCAGTCATTTCCACTAAAGTCACAGGGAAACATCAGATGCTATCACAAAAACCCTCCAACTGTGATAATATTCTTGAAGCCCACACACATAGGTTGGGTTAAGAATACGCACAACTCAGACATGAAAACAGTTCGTCATTCCAAAGCCCTAGCTACAAGCCACGAGGAAAGCTTCCTTCCCCACAACAAGGCTTTCTGTTCCCAGTGGCTTGAAAGCAAACTGTTCCAATCACATCACACATGTGCACCCTGTCGACACGAAAGCATCTTCAACAGCCAGATAAAGCAACAGATTGCTGCACTTGCAATAAAATGCCATTGAACATTACGAGCTACAGAACTGACTATGAAAGTCTGACAGCTTCCCAGAAATAAACAATTCTTAATTTAACCATTTAAAGTTTATCAGAAAAGTCACAAAGCATGTGACGTATTTGAAGGCAGAGCAGTAAATCTAAAGATAAGTTCCAATTTCCTATGCCAGCAAAAGTTGCAGTCGCTAATTTCTAATAGAAACTATCTTCAGGTGTTGAGGCAGCATCTTTGGCAGAGAAATGTAACAGTTTCTTCACAAAAAAACTGAGCTCTTAATAATTCTGCGGAGAAATATTTATATCCGACTCCTAGATTAAGGATTTTACCTGTCTGAACTACTAAAGATATAAAAGAACACTTTTTTAATACCAACCCATTTACTTCCATTAGGTGCCTATTTTTTATGCAGTAAGTTAAGACGTAACAGAGATTTCATGTGCTATTTACAAAGGTCTAAAAAAATATATCCTACGAATATTTTTTCTACTCATTACGATGGGCCTTCAGCAAGAAAAATCTAATTACACGGACATAGCTATCATAGCGCTTTACATTTTTATTTACTTCACCAAAGCACTTTAAATAAATATTCTTATAACAGAAATTTCAAAAGATTAATGTTATTTTGAACAGTAAAAAACCCAAACCAGTTTATTGATTAAGTGCAGTAAAAGTTCAAATGTGAGAGTACATCTAATATTCTCTAAGTAAATCTTTAAAGGTCAAGTGTATTTTTACATTAATGGAAATTTGTTTTCTTCTCAAAACACCTGACCTCAGGAAGAAATTAAATTATGAATGTCTACCCTAAATAATGTATACACAGGAAGCCTGGGCTCCTAAATCTGAAGGCTAGTATACTTTCCATAGCAGTTCTCAAAGCCTTACTTTGTCTTTAAATCCACCTATCATCCCTCCCATCCAAAATAAGTCCTGCAGAAGTGGAAAAAGGGTGTCAAGTACAGTTATGAGGACTTAGTATCACTGTCCTTCCCAAACAAATCTCTCGCCATCTGCACAGAATGGCCTTAACCTCTTGAAGCATCAGAGCAGCCATAATAATCTCACTAGTCCTGCCTTGTCTCCAGCACCAGGTCAGCAGCTGAAGTTTGACTCAAAAATCTTGAATTGAGAGCAGCCCTAAGGAGAAGGACTTAGGGGTATTGATTGATGAGAAGCTCAACATGAGCCGGCAGTGTGCGCTTGCAGCCCAGAAAGCCAACCATGTCCTGGGCTGCATCAAAAGAGGTGTGACCAGCAGGTCGAGGGAGGTGATCCTGCCCCTCTACTCCACTCTTTGAGACCCCACCTGGACTACTGCATCCAGCTCTGGGGGCCCCAACATAAGGAGGACATGGACCTGTTGGTCCAGAGGAGGGCCACGAAGCTGACTGGAGGGCTGGAGCACCTCTCCTATGAGGACAGGCTGAGAGAGTTGGGATTGTTCAGCCTGGAGAAGAGAAGGCTCCAGGGAGATCTAATTGCAGCCTTCCAGTACCTGAAGGGGCCTACAGGAAAGCTGGAGAGGGACTGTTTATCAGGGAGTGTAGTGACAGGACAAGGGGTAATGGGTTTAACCTGAAGGAGGGCCAATTTAGATTAGATATTACAAAGAAATTCTTTACTATGAGGGTGGTGAGGCACTGGAACAGGTTGCCCAGAGAAGCTGTGGATGCCCCCTCCCTGGAAGTGTTCAAGGCCAGGTTGGATGGGGCTTTGAGCAACCTGGTCTAGTGGAGGGTGTCCCTGCCCATGGCAGGGGGTTGGAACTAGATGGTCTTTGAGGTCCCTTCCAACTGAAAGCATTCTACGATTCACTAAGGAACTGTTATGCAACAGTAGCCATAACTACAATACAAGGGAAAATCTTGAGAAAATAACACACTCAAAGCAATACCCCTCTGAACACTCTCCCTAGTCTCTAGTCCCTCACTATGGCATTTCCAGTTTAAAGCCAAGATGCACAGAACCAAGTCACATTAACCATTTCAAATAATGAATAAAGAATAGGTAATGATATATACATTCGTAAACATAAAACCCCATTATATTAAATGCTTAACAGCTAATCTAAAAAGTCATACGAGCTCCAGAGATACTAGCACCACCCACGTCTTTAAAAGCGTTTCAGGCATTACCCATAACATGACATAAAAAGAAATCGCTATGCGCTAAATCCTTAAGCGACCGCACACCGCGACCCTCTTCACAGAAGAGGCGCTCGTGTTCATTAAGAGCCGGCTCAAGGCCCCGCAGCGCTGGGGCGGAACCCGCTCGGAGAGGCCGAGCTGGGGCTGCCGGGGCGGCGAGAGCGGAGCCCT